CCCCATAGGAACCGAGAGGCTCGGGACATTATCTCCCACTCAGATGAGCCAGAGCACACCCATTCAATGAGAAGAAGCGGGGAAGGAGGTTCCATAAAACATCCTCCAGCCTGGACATGGATGGAACACCCGAGTGACTACGTCTAGAATGGACGCAAGATTGGGCCACGTGCGAACAGCCCTCCAGGCAGCAGGACTGTAGTTCCATGGGCCGCCATGCTGCCTTGCTGTCACGTGATTCTTGATTGGGTTCCTCCAGGGCCACACATCCGTCATCGAGCAGCAAAGCTCTCTTCCTCTGAGCCTTAATGCAACCCAGCCGGCTCCCATCAATCTTTCAGGACCAAACATCTCCAGAACTGGGCTGACAGGTGGCCCCCGGGACACGGTGTGCAGTCTGGCCCAGGGGACGGACAGCCAGGGGCATTTTCCAGAATTAACTGGAGGATGCGTGGGAGGCATAGGCATTTTAGGGAAAGGGAAGTGAGGACACAGGGACAGAGCACACCCTGGGTGCCTGGAGTGACTGTTGATATTGGCTGGGCACTTGGATGGAGAGGCTCTCAAGAATGCCACTGAGCTCCACCACTCAGGCCTTTGTCCCTGCTCCTCCCAACTGAGATGAACCACCTTCTTCCGGTGGATCCCCCTCTCTGATGGATTGCTCACCTCCTCTTCTTTCCCCCTCCTCCTTCTCTGGCTTCCTCAAGTCTCCCCACTCTCCTTCCAGTCTTTGATGGGTCTCTGAGAGAAAGTTCTGGAAGGAAACTGAGCAGGATTTCTAGTCAAGCAGACCTCATCTCTCTCATAAGTGGAGAAACCCAAATCTTGAGAGTCCAGGGAAATGCTCGCCCCGACTTCATCCTCCTGCTCAATGGGACAGGGAGCAGAAACTTGGCACCCGATGGTCAGAGAAGGTGACAACTGAACCAAGTGACAAGGAGGCAGCGAGACAGGGAACAGCCTGCACAGCCCCCATCCCCCCCAATCCACTGTGCAAACAGCAAAGTCCATGAGATGCTAAGTGCTTCGCACAGGTGCTGGTGCCAGTGGTGTTAGCTCCCACGGTGTAGGCCCCCAGCCTAAGACAACACCATGCACAAGAGCACGGAACGTGACTCCGCCTTGTGCCACCCCCAGGGCCCACGGCAGATGCTCAATACACACGAATCCCCGTCGGCTGGTCCTAGAGAAGTGGTGGCCCGAGCCAGCAACAGTAACGACTGTTGGGTGCATTCTGGTCTCCACCACTGACTGGTGAGCTGCCTGGAGAGACTGTCTCCTCAATCAGAGGAGAGATCTCTGAGGACTGGGGTGCTCCATCTCCCCTTCCAGAGAAGGGGCCTCCTGAGGGCAGGAGCTGCCTCCTTTCTAGGCTCCAGGGTAGGTCTGATCCACCGGGTCTCTTCAGCAAGGGCCTGACAGCCATGGTGCTCACCTCAGCTGGGCTCCCTCAGGGTGTGGGTGTGAAGTCCAGTCATCCCCAGCCCTCTCGCCACAGGGCCCTGCTTTAGCAAGCTGCCCCAGGGCCAAGCCACTGACCAAGGATGGGGTTTCAGCCTGATCCTTACCACCAGCTGCGTGGGACCAGCCTGCTGTGAATCTGTGATACTGGTGCCAGGGGAAAAACAGCTGATCCCCGGGAAGGAGCCCTAATGTCCTTGGAGCTGGAGGCAGGGGTGGGATCACAGGGTTTCACCCCACGGTCCTGGTCTTGGCTGGATCGTGGGAGTGCGCATTGCCAGGGACAAGTATGCCACCAGACGGGCCTCCATTTACTCCTCAGGTCAGTTGGTCCACAGGCATCTAGCATTCTCTGGGTGTGTAGTCAGGCTTAGGCACAGGGGTTGACAGTCGCTGTCCCTGTCC